CCACCCCACCCCAACCCCAACCCCAACCCCAACCCCAACCCCAACCCCAACCCCAACCCCAACCCCAACCCCAACCCCAACCCCAACCCCAACCCCAACCCCAACCCCAACCCCAACCCCAACCCCAACCCCAACCCCAACCCCAACCCCAACCCCAACCCCAACCCCAACCCCAACCCCAACCCCAACCCCAACCCCAACCCCAACCCCAACCCCAACCCCAACCCCAACCCCAACCCCAACCCCAACCCCAACCCCAACCCCAACCCCAACCCCAACCCCAACCCCAACCCCAACCCCAACCCCAACCCCAACCCCAACCCCAACCCCAACCCCAACCCCAACCCCAACCCCAACCCCAACCCCAACCCCAACCCCAACCCCAACCCCAACCCCAACCCCAACCCCAACCCCAACCCCAACCCCAACCCCAACCCTATTTTAATAATATTTGCTTAAAAATATTATTATTTTTAATTTTATATAAAAAAATTATTTTTTAATTAATATTTTGAAATTTAAATAGAGCATTTGTTTTAATTCAAATATTATTTTTTTAACTATATTTTTCTTTTTTTTAGTTTAATATCTTATTATTTTTAGAAAATAAAAATGAATTAGGTTTGATTTATTTTTTCAGTTTTATTTGAGTTAAATATATTAATATTAATTTAATTTTATATTTAAAATAATAATTTTAAACTAAGTAAGAAAAAAATAAAATTATTTTGCTTATATTTTAAATATTAATAGATATTTATTTTTCTTTTATTTATTTATTTATTTAATTATTTAAAAGCATATCAAAAAAAACTTATTATTAATATTAATTATCCATTTTTTTGAAATTATTGATTTTAAAAATAATTTACTGATCTCAGAGAATTAAAAAACTTAGATAATTCTATAAGTCAGTATTTACATTTTAATTTTCATAAACTTAACTTTAATTTTTGATATTTCAGTTAGTTTTGAAATATTAAAAAAATTGATCTTAAGTGATAACATAATTTAAATAAATTAAACTTACTTTTAATATATATTATTAGAGTTAAAATATTATAAAAATAAATCAATATAATATTATATTAGTTGAATTTAATTGTTGGTATTGATTTTTAGTTTATTTTATTCTTTTAATAAATTTTTTGTTAGAATTTTGATTAGTATATTTATTTTTAGACTATGGTTTATTATTATTTATACCTTTATACTAAGTTTAGAATTGTAACAATCAAAACAATTTAATAGATTATAAAATTAAAGAATTAATTTATATGCTTATTTGTTCAACTAAATTAACAACTCAACATTTTATATTTATTGGATGTTTTTAAAAAAGAATTTTTAAATTAGAAATTATGTGAAAATGCTAGTAAAGTATATTGTTAATTTAAATTTTTTATATCTTAATTTGCAAATTTTTGAATTATTTTAATCAATAATCATTAAATAAGTGTCATTTTATTTATTATAAATACATCATTAAATTTTCTTTCTTGAATTAAATTTTTCAATTATGTTTTTAAATTTAGTTGTAGATTTTATTCTTTTTTTTTTATTAAAAGTTTTAATAAGTAGATTGTAATTGATTATTGTTTAAATCTTATTTTAACAAGCTTTAAAATAATAATTTTAAAAAACTATTTAGTAAATAAAAATAATAAAATAGATATTTAAGGATAATTTAATTTTGTATAAAAGAAGCATCCAACTCGTTTAAAGATATTAACAATAATAATGAATTTTAATATTTTAAAAGATTGATTAAGCTGTAAATCAAAAATATCATTATTTTATTTAAGAATATTTAAAGCTATAAAAAAAAAATATATTTTTTTTATAAAGTAAATTTAGCATAAAATATCTTTTATGATTATATGAAAATAAAATAGATTTTGTAATAGATTTATTGGTAGATTTACTAGAAAGACTATCAAGGAGGTTAGTAGGGTATTGAATAAAGACAAAGAAAGTAATGGAGGAGGAGAAGAAGAAGAATGAAGTACCAAATTATGAATGGAAGAAACTAAGCAAGTAAAAAATATCTAATAAAAAGAAAGATATTTGCTTGTTGTTTATTTGTTATGTCGTTTATATTATTAGCTTTGATAGAAGGAAAAATCATATAAAAAAGAAGCTAAAGAAAAATAAAAGCGAAATAAATAAAGATTAAAAATAGAGATTAAAACAATTATTCAATCAATCAAATAACATTTGAATAGATAAGCATAAAATAAATATGAGCACAAGCAAGTATCAAAGCATTTTAGAAAGCAACGAATTACCTGTAAATTTGGATGAATTGCCAAATTTCAAGATTAAGGTTCCCTCTCAAGATATCTTTGCTAGCTATTACTCTGCCAGCAGCGATTCAGAAGTATAGATGTAGGTTGCAGTTTTATTCATAAATGAATTAGACAAATTAATTAAAGAAAAGAATACTGATGGTTTACTCGTTCTTTATGACGTTTAATTCAATAAAATATGCTCTTCTGTCTTTAAGGAATCTGCATGGCCCGCTCCTCACGAAATTGAATTATATTAAGACAAAGAAATCGACATCGATATTGCTTATCTTTATAGCGAATTGTGCTATAGACACGCTCTTGCCCGTCTATAAAATTCATTTGACGCTGAATTAGTTTGCAACTCTTGGGAAAACTATAATGATATTTTTGATACAGTTATCCACGCATAAACTGAATTCCCTCTTCCTGTTCCTTGGATTTGGGATATTATTGATGAATACATTTATCAATTTTATTTTGCATGCAGATGGAGATACACTATCAAGCCAGAAGATTAAGGTAATTAACTTATCACATTTATTCATTCACTATTAAAGAGACAAACAAAACAAACAAAAAGTTATTAATAAATGGCAACAAACGAATAAAATCTTCTCATTATCAATAACCTATTTCAATAAGTTTAGCAATTATAGTCATTAAGATTATTGCAAGAAATCTATTTATAACCAAAGGAAAGAAAATGAATAATCATTATTTTTAGAGTTATGTCAAGAGTTTCAATTAGGTTTTCTATAAAGCATAGGAGGGTTTTTAAAATGAAGCTCAGTATGACATTTATAGAGTTAGCATTAAAGATAGTTAAGAGAAATAATTAAAATCGAATAAAAACTAGGTTTATTTGAATAATTTGTTGTATAATATAAATTAAATAAATAAAGAAACAAACAAACAAAATACTAAATATAAAAGCAAAAACAATATTTTAAAAATATAAAAAATCTTATTAAATTTAGATTCAATATAAATTTACTTACAATTTATAAAAATAAAATCATAGGTTTAAAGGAAATTTTAGCTAAGGATTCAAGAGATTTGACTTTCTGGAATTTAGAAAATATTAATGAAAACTTCACCAGCGTTATTTAAAAATCATAAATCTTTGAAAAGGGAGTATTGACTCTTAAGGAAGCTACCTCTACTTCTCACTATTTCGGTTTCTTTACTTTAGTAGGTCAATTAAGACTTAATGTTTTAATTGGAAACTATGATGCTGCTATTAAGTCCATTGAAAACCTCGATTTTGACTCTTTGGTTATCTTCTCTAAGGCTTTTCCTGCTTACTTCAATCTTTTTTACTATGCAGGTTTTGCTTACCTTATGACAGGAAGTAAAAAATTCATTCATTTTTAAATAAATTATTTAATTTAGTTTATTCAATTAATTTAAAAATTATTTTTAATTTTGCTTGTTTTTTTTATTGGAATTTATTTTATCGTTTGCCTAAACTTTAAATAAAATTGCTAATTGTTTAATTTTAACTATTTTAGGATACAAAGAAGCTGTTAAGGTTTTGGAATCTGTTTGTCTTATGATGAATAAATATAAGGCTTTCTTAACTAAGTAAGAAATTAATCTTTTAGGAAATATGAACAAAAATAAAATTAAAATAAATAAAAAATAGGTCTTCTTAATCTGAAAATATGATGAAATAATTGGAAAAGGCTGTTTGTTTATTCGCTATCAGTTTAGTTTTCTACCCTAACAAAGCTTCTGAAAGCACTTTCTGGTAATTTAAGGATCTTGGAATTAAGACTTCTAAATAAAACAGCCAAAATAGAAACGAAAAGGAAAGAATTGTTGACAAGTTCGATAAGCTCCAAAGATACGACATTTAAACTTTTAACGAATTATTCAATTACGGTTGCCCCAAGTTGATTGAACCCATTTAGAGCTTAGATAGCTTCAAAGATATCACTAACAAAAATACTTCTGATTTAATAATAAATGCCAAGGAAAAGCTCACAAAGGAATTTAAGGTTGTTTAAAATCTTAACAACTTAGCCACTGTCATGAAGTTATATAGTAAAATTAACTTACAAAAGGCAGCTTCCATAGTCAATGTCTCCAAGGATGAATTCTTGAACTTATTAAAGCAATATGAAAAGAGAGAAACAAGCGATTTATTGAAAACTCCATTCGAACAAACCGTTCTTTCTCGTTTCTTTTTACCTACTCCTATTCTTAAATTCGATATTAATGGCGATAACATTACAATCAACGAAGTTGTTCCTGTAAAGAATTATACTGAGTAATACTAAAAACTCAATAAAAAAATGACAGAAATTTACTCAGATGTCCTTAGTCTTCTTTGAAATATTTAATTTAAAACTAATTAATTAGCTTATTTGAAAATAAAATTATTTAAGCGAATAATCATATAAAATAAGTATAAATTGTAATTATATTTTCATCAAATCTACAATTTTTAGGCTATGAATAACTTTTTTAATTTATCAAATAAATAACTTATCGATTTTTATTCATATTATATACATACAGATTTTGATTGTTCAGTAATAATTTCGTTTTTATTTTATTTTTAAAGATGATAACAAATTCATTTTTTTCATTTATTTTCTTATCAAATAATTTTATTGATACTAGACATAATTTAGGAAAAAAATATCAAATTTTTATTACAAATTAAATTATAAACTTTCAAATAAATTAAAAAAAAAAAAAGGAGATAAATTTTTTCTAATTTTCATGGAATTTATCAATTTAAATTAATTAATTAATAATAAAGTTAAACGAAGAAACTATCAAATTAAAATGCACTTTTAATTTTAAAATTAAAAATCTTATTATTTCTCATTTTTGAATATTTAAATTAGATATTTTATTATAATCAAATGAAAATATAAAGTATAATGAATAAAAAGAAGCAACAATAAAATATATTTTATTAAGAAGACTAAATAATGCACAAAAGATAAAAAATTATCTATAAAATATTTAATTAATTCTTTTATAAAATTTAAGCCAGTGTATAAAATAAATAGTTTAAAGCTAAATTTATAAATTTTAGAGATTGATTTGTTGATAATAAAAATAAGTAAAACTAATACATGCTAACATTGAAAAAATTGATTTATAAAAACAAAAAAAATAATTAAATAAATCAATTGCTTGTTAAAACAAAAATGAAAAAAAAAATGTAATTAATAAATATTTAATGAATATCAAAGATAAATAAAATCAAATTTTTATTAAAAATCAAAGACAAAAAAAAACATTGTGAAACAAGTATTTTATAAATAAATTTTAAAGTTTATGAAGAGAAAAATAATATTATGGATTTCCTATAAATATTAAAATCTTTTTACTGCAGTAAGAATAAAAATGATTCAGATAAATTTAATCTTATAAATTAATTGCTAATAGGCAGATACAACATAATTATTTAGTTTACATATATGAAATAAAAGTATGAATATTTAGATAGATAGATAGATAGATAGATAGATAGATAGATAGATAGATAGAAAGTGAGTTATTTAAATTTAGTTAGTTGATTTTTTCAAATCTTCTCTCAAATATATATATATACATACAATAGAATGGGTATTGTAAAAACAAATATTAAAATTAATTTTATAAGGTAGGAGGACTCTTTAAATTTTATTACTATAAATAATAAATTAGTACATTAAATTGAGATGAATTTAATTATTTTTATGTAGCAATTCTATCTTTCTTAGTTAAAACGAGTTTTTGATATTTGCTTATATTTAGTTAGTTAGTTTGTTTGTTTGATTGTTAATTAACAGATTTATAGAATAATTCTAGTGTTTAATTTTTTTAAAAGTAAAGGAGATAGATTGATTGCTAAATCAACTTTTATTGATAAAATTTGTAAATAATTAATTTAAAGGGGTTAAAAAAAGCTCAGCTAATTAATATAATTTATTTTTGTTGATTTTTAAGCACATAATTAAATCGATAAGCATCATTTCTAATAAAAAACACCTTTAAACTAAGATAGAATTTATAAATTTATTTGTTGTTTTTTTAATTTTGAATAGCTAGCTAGCTATCTATCTTAACTATCTAATTAAGTAGCAATAAATTTTATAAAAAACATTTCTTAATTCAATAATTTGTAATTGATCTGTATTCCTTTTTTAACTTTTTCACTATGACACGAGCTTCCTCATGAGAAATACCAAACTATTTAGCTGTACCATGATAATTTTTTGATCTCTTGTGATATTTTAACAATTCCATTTATTGGTCTTTTGGTAAAGTTATAGGCACATCAGGATAATCATCATCTGCTACGTTTTGACTCTATTCAGCTTTCTTTTTATTTTGCACAGATGTATTTTAAGGTTTTTGATGTGAGGTTTCGCTATTTCTTGCACTAGATTTTGTCACACTCTTTGGTTTTGGAGCTTGCTATTACCTCTTTTTATTTCTTTGAGTTTCTTCTTCACTCTCATCATTATCGTCTTCCAAATCTTGATTGGTAGTTTCACTCTCTTCGTTGTAGTACCTAGTGTTGTTCTTGGTGTCTCTTCTTTTATTTAATAATCCTAGTGATTCTAATTCAGGGTCGGTTACAGCTCTTCTTTTTCTCGAAGAAATATATTTAGGTTGGTAGTCATTTCCAATAGTATTATTTTAATTATTATAACTTGATTTTCCAGCAGTCAATCCTCCATTTCCTTTAGATCCTGCCCCACTTGATCTAGTGTTTATAACTCTCTTTTGCGATAGCTGCTGATGACAATATTAAATGCGCTGCTAAACTGTTTTATGTTATTATTCTTGATTCTATTGTTGTTACACAGTACTTGATTTATTCTGTGCTTGTTTATTGCGCGTTTTGTCAAATGTTTGATTAGTTACTGCTATTGTGGAAGACAAATCTTTTTATTGTTGTGTTGCATTTTATTGGCTCTATATAGCTTAAGTGCTTTGATTTTCTGCCTCTTTTTTATGATTTTCCATTGTATTGATATCCTACAAAAGTTTTGGTAGGTTAAATTAAGCATATCCTGAACCGATTTTTGCGTATTCTGAGAAGATATCCTCCTCACTAGATTCATTTTTAATATGTTCATCTTCTTTTTCTGAAGATGTATTAACGCGCAATCCTAATTGTTAAATCTATTTTTCTTATTACTACTATTAATTTTACTAAGGCTATTCTGAAATGGCTGCTTTTACAATTTTGGCTTCTTCAGGTTTTTTTTCATCTTAGCTTTGATTACCACTTGCGTTTTTTTCATTTTCATCTTCAGTATTCATTTTAGACATTTCTTCTTCATCTTCGCTAGAATCTTCGTATGAAACAATTTCGAATTCCACATCATCTTCGTCATCATCTTAATCTTGAAGGCCCTTTGCTTCTGTTGTACATGATTTCAAAATTTATTAAATCTCAGAATAATCGTTTTTCTTTTATTGTTTTTCATCATTTATTTTCTTTTCTTCTGCTGCAGATTTGCCATTAATCGATTGCTTTGAAGTATTTCCGTTTCTTTGGTAAGGTGCAGTAGCTGAATTTTGATGACCAATTGAATTAGACACGGATCCACATTACTAAATATTATTTTCGCTACAAGAGTTTTCTAGTTACGAAGCAGTTTAATCTTAATTTAATTTATTAGCGTGCTTGCCATTTAAATAACTAGGCTTATCATTCTTTCCGCTTGTTAGTAAATTATACTCGCGCGAAACTTACACTTCTTTTCTATTCTCTTAAATGCTCATAACTGCTGCCTGCCTGTATATTATTTAATAAATCTGCGCTAAGATTACTTTACTTGTAAAATCTCCTCTTTATTTAATTAAATTAAATATTTATAATGTATTATGGTGTTTGATAATTGATATATCAATAATTATCTAATCTCTAAAAAGGAAATGATAATTGATTGATTGATTTATTATTAAATATATAATACATTATGAGAATTTTGGAAAGTCGAGAAAATAAACTAAATAAATGTACACATTTAATTATTACATATATATGATATGCAAAGAGACAATATTTTAAAATGTTAACTTTTTATTAAGTTCGAAAATATTATTAATAATTAATATATAAAAATATAGTGTGCAATCAATTAATTTATTAATTAATTAGGTAAGAAACTAATGATTGATTGATCTATTGATCTATCAATCGATCGATCGATTGCTCTCTTGCTTATCAATCTATATGAAGCTAAATCGAATAAGCACACACACCAACACAAAGCATATAAAAATATATATAAATATTTAACACATATTCTAAAATCTATTTTATAGCATCATATTCAATAAATAAATTTTAATTATTTTTATAATTACACTTCTTCATTTTTTTACTCTGAATCTTTTAAATTATTTATTTAGCTATTATATGATTGTTAGTCTTCATTATTTAGATGTTTAAGTCTTCTTTTCTTTCCACACACATATGAGTCGATCTTTGGTGTAGTATCAAATCGCTAATCAATATAATAATGGAGATCTTCCATTTCTAAACCTTCGCTAAGTAAACTTGGACTTAACTCCCTTTTTACTGAACTTTTATTGTATTCAGTATCCATATTTTCTAAGAAAGAGTTTGATCTTTTCACCTTTACTTTCAAAAAACATTAATTAGTTAGAATTCAACCAAAAAAAATGTTATTTAAAACTAAAAAATTAAGATATATATCATGAAATTATTTTCAAATACCTAAGGAGTCTCAAATGTGGCAAAAAATTTAGGAGCTTCTATCTACTTTTGCTCCTTTTAATGGCCAAGGAAGAAAATATTTCCCTTCTCAGCATTTATTTAAAAAATATTTTTTTCTACCACAGAATTAGATTGCATTTTTATAATTTTGATTTATTATATTTTACTTACTTACTGAAAGCTTGATAATTAAATTAATTGATTGATTGACTGATTTGTTTGATTGATTATTTGCCTGTTTATTTTTGATTGTAGATTTAAATTTAAAATATTAGTTAGTTGCTCGGCAATTAATTTATTTTAAATTATTTTATTAGTTTAAAGTGTTAATTAATATAAAAGTCTAAAATAATTCTAATAAACATTTCAAAAAATCTGAAAACAAACAAAAGTTTCTCAAGAAATTTCAAAAATAAAATGAGCGCCATAATTAAAAATAGATCCGTTTCTATCGGAACAAAAAAACAAACAAACATATTAAATTAGATATTTCCATCATAATTGATTTCTCATGAAATATAAAAAATTATTAAATTATTAAATCCTTATAATAAAAAAATATATTTTATATTATTTTTAAAAATTGTTTTAATCAAATTTATAAAAATAATTAAATATTTTTTGATTCTGCTCTAAAATTAATAAAATTAAATCTTTCATGTATTCACTATAATCACAATTTATTTGATTAAGCAACAAAATCAATAATTTTATAAATAATTAAAAGATTATGCCTTATCTTTTAAATTTCAGTGTTAAGTGCATACATACATAACATGGAATATATATAAATTTTTTTTCTTTAATGAGTTTCTTTTTAGCTGATTTGCAAAAAATTTACAAGATTGATATAGTTTTAAATATTTTTATTTACTAAAATTTTTTAAACTAATAAGTAAAAAAGCTAATAAATTTTGATATTAAATCATGATTTAAGGCCTTTTACAAGAATTTTGAACTCATCGAAAGAGATTTTATTATCTCCATTTAAGTCACATTTAGACATAAATTCTTCCCAAACTTTCTCATTTTTAGATATTAAACTATAACCAAGTGACCTTTTTAGTTCATCTTATGTTATAAAACCACTATTATCTTTATCGAAATACTTAAATGCCTTAGCAACATTTTCTTCACATAAAAGCTCCTATTTATTACTTACGATGGTTATAAACTCATTATAAGAAATGTTTCCACTTTTATCAATATCTAGCTCTTCAAATATATCATTGATCTAAGACTCTGTAAGTTGTTATCCAAATTATAGTTTACACACTTATGCTATCTCTTCCTAAATAGTAATTAAATTTCAAGATTCAATTAAACTATAAAAATAAGTATACTTTGCTTAAAGATCCAGTGTGATTTGTGTCTAGCTTCTAAAACAACTTTATAGTTAAAAATAAATTAACAAAATTTATCTCTTAAATGAATTTTTACCTAAGCGACACTTGACCTTTCAAATTAGGAAATCTAATGAGTTGCTATATATGATATCGTTGCTTGCTGTAAGACATTATAAGCTTAAAACTAATCAAGTAAAATAATAAAATTCATATTAAACTATTGATTGCTCTGAAATAAATCTAACCTAAGTCATATTTTCAACAAATTTATTTTTTGTTATTTCTTTGTCAGTCTCATTATCACTAAACCACTAAATAAAATAAAAATTATATTTTTTTAACATATAAATTAATCTTTACTTTATTTTCTAACAGTTCAACTGCTTTTGGTCTTTTTTTGTGGTCTTTTTATAGCATACTTTGCACAATCTATTTGCATTCTATTGTAACATTTTCCCAATTCGATGAAGAAAAACTTAGAGATTCATTCTTAATTGATTGTATTATTTCTGCTTCTGTTTTTTTTACAAAAGGAACTTCCCCTTCTATTAAAGTGTAAATCACGACTCCTAAACTCCAAATATCACAACCATAGCTGTAGCTCTATGAAAGTACTTCTGGAGCTCTGAAATGTAGCTCTCCTGTTATTTGTTTGAGATTTTCGTTACCTTAAATATTTGTAGCATTACCCCAGTCAATAATCTAATTTATTTAAAAAAAATTTTATAAAAATTTTATTATCGAGCTGGAGAGAGGAAATTTAAATACTTTTTTTATAGCTTAAAATATTTTTTCATTTATTAATATAAAATAATTTAATTTAAGAAAATATGAAATTGCAACTCTTTGATTAGAAAACAAATTATAAAATTTGAGTTAAATATAAATAATTGATTGTTGCTTACTATTTCACTGAATTAATTAAACAAAGTTTTATAAATTTAAGATACTTAAAAAAAATAATTTTCATATGTTTTCCTGCATAAATTAATGCATTTACTTTAAAACCAGAAATAAATCTTATAGATTTGTATTAATGATTAATATTTATTTGTATCAAATAATTAATAGATATATTTTTAATGGTTAATTTTTTAATTTGATTATTTAATTAATCTAAAAAATAAATATAAGAATTATTAATGAAGGGAGATAGATAATCAATTTAATTAAATATTTAATAAATTCATACTTTTATTTACAAGTCTTATTATTTGCTAAAAGAGTTCATCAAAATGTTTTTTAGAGTGATATCTCTGTGAACAATATGTCTATTGTGAATATAAGCAAGGACTTCTAAAACCTATTTAGCAACTTTAATTTATTTATTTATTTATATATTATTATTAAAATTAATTAATATTTTAATTTCTACCTGTTTTGACTAATTTTTCACTGAAAAAATCGCACTCTATTATTCTATCTATTAGAGAACCAGAATCAACAAACTCAAATATAAAATAGTAATTGATGCTATCTTTGTAGTATTCATAAGCTTTAATTATATTTGGATGGCTTAATTAACTGAGATAGATGATTTCGTTTGTGATGTTAAAATTGTTTACAGAATTATCGACATATTTTTTGTTGACAATTTTCATGACTCTTTCTTCTTTAGTATCTTTTTTAACTACTTTCTTCACATGGCCCTTTAAAATGAAAATAATAAAGAATCTTACATCAATTTAGTTATACTTTCTTAAATTTCATTTTAATGTTTGTTTGTTTGTTTTATTTGAAAGTGATTGATTCAATTGATTTTACAAATTTATTGAAGTAGATTATTTCACTAATCTCATAATCATCTGTTATTTTTCTTGAGGCTTCATCAATGAAATTTAGATTATTCACCTTAATATCAGAAACCTTTTAAACACTACCATCACCTCTTTAGTTTAAAGATTCCTTGACTTCACTTTCTCTTGTTATTCCACAGCCCATTATCTTCTTAATAAATTATTTGATAGAATAATATAATTTATTATTTTAAATAAGATTAGTTTACTTATTAATTAATTATCAAAGTAGAAATGACTTGTAATTGATTGTAAATAACTTTTATGTATATTATTTTTTATTTAATTGTAAAGCATCAAAATATTGAAAATATAGACTTTATTTTGAATAATAATAAGGTATTTCATATTATAAATTAAGACAAATTCCGTATTCAATAAACCAAATTATAACTTTTTTTTCATTTATTCTCGAAATTAAAAATTAAATAAGTTACAAATTTAATTATTATAAATGTACTCGAATTTCTCTATAAAAATTAAAATGTAAAATTTTGTTTTAAAATTAATCTATTTTACCTTCCTCCAACTTTTTATATTGGAAAAATCCATAAAATATTTAGATAACTAAAGGCAATTTTCATTATTTATCAGCAAATTAAATTTTTGAGCTTATTTTATTGTAATTAACACCTTAAAAAAAAAATAAATAAAGGTTTGTTTTAAATAAGTATAAATTTTTTTAATGACTAAATTTAATATTTATTAATATATTAATTAATTTTTTATTATTATTTATAATATATTTATTACTCGTTAATTTGTATTTTATCTTTGAAATATTTATTACTAATTTTTAAATGTAACTTATTATCATTATTTTATAAATTAATTAATTTATAATTAAATTCTAATAAATTTTATTTATCATAAATAGAGTAAAAAAAATTTGTATTTTTTGAACAAGGTAATGATATAAATTTAATTTAAACATCATATTCATTTAATTCTTTACTTTTGTTAATTCTTTTAAATTTTATTTAATATTATTTACTATGAAGATAGTAAAAAACAATTTTTATTTAGATTAAAAGGGAAGAATATAAACTTAATTTTAGCATCAAAATCATTGATTTTATTTTACTTAATAACCTCACTTAATCATTTTAAAATTTATTAGATTAAATTATTTCTTATTAAGAGAGAAAAAAACATATTTATATAAGCAACCAGCA